AGAATGAAAGATGCATAATTTATGTTTATTTTTATGGTGGTTGTGAAATCAATCAAATCTACCGAACCCATACAGATAAAATATAAAGATTCCACATGTGAAATTTGAAAACTTTCTGATGCATAAAAGTATTTTTAATCTTAAAATGAATATTACTTTGCATGATACGTAGGCAACACGCAAAAAGAAAAAATAGACATGAGAAAAATATTCCTTTATAAACCTTGAGACTTAATAAAGAAATTTGATATTTTGCATATGAAAGCATTATAATGTTTGCTGATAATCTGCCAAATTTTGTGAACATTTGCTTACTAATTTATAAGTTATAGGATGAAAACTATAACAAGCACAAAATAGTTGCGAGGTTGGTTCCAGGGACCAAGCCCGTGCTGAAAGATTTAATCATATTTCATTTGTTTGTAAGCCCAATATTACTTCAATGTATGCTTGTATGTTGTAGTACTTTCAGAAGTAATAACACTAACATAATACAGAGCATTTTTAAGATGTATCCAAATTTATTATAGAATGTTCAGTACAATAAAATGTGAAATTCGCAGTATATGCAAGAATTTCACAAAATGTTAAACTTTCAAATATTATTTCAAAAGTTTAAAAATGAATGCAAATAGTATTGTACACTTAGGTGCTTACAAATATTATTTCAAGACAAGGTGATGTAGAAAAAGAATTTCAAGTAATTATGAAAGAAATTATTGGAAATTTAAAAAAAAATATTTTAGAGAAAAAATGCACAATGGAAGTTAAACTTTTCTTAAAATTTAGACTAGATTCTGCTCCTGGTACTTGCAGTTGTTGTTGCCTCATAATTATATACAGGATGGGACAAAAATGACTATACAATAATTTCTATTAGAGCATAGTTTAAATTCTGACTATTACTCTGAAACAAACAGTAATTAGTACAAGTTATCTACATATATTTCTTCAGTACCAAATGTATACCACCACCCGTATCAACCGTATAGTACCAACTGTATAGTTACTTTTACCTTACCATGTATCACATATGTATGTAGAAATCATTTTGGGTTTACAATTTTATGGCACTTGATTAATTTTAAGTTACATACTTCTAACCACAAATACACTTCTCACATTATTTTTGATTTATATCATTCAAATAAGGTTGTTGGTGTATTAGTTTTTTTAATTCTTCTTCCTATTTGATATTTTTTTGTAATGTTATAACCAAAATGATTCAGCAGTTTCTGAAATACAGTGTTGTTGTTTTTTTTTAGAAAATATGTGAATATATAAAAACCCATATACACAGTGTAATAATGTTTTACATTTGTGATAATCCTATGTAGTTGCTTTTCATTTTTAAAATGAATGACTGCACAAACAATTGTTGGATTGTATGTTACAAAATCTTGAGTAGTGATAACAAACTTGCAATTGTAGGTAAAGGCTATTCCAGGTCTAGGAACTACAATAGATACTGTACTGGTAAATGGCAGGATTCGAGAAGGAGACACCATAATTCTAGCTGGTCACGAGGGCCCTTTAGTTACACAGATTCGTTCTTTACTCATGCCTCAACCACTTAAAGAACTCCGTGTGAAGGTATGGATAATTTAGAAGTTTTGGGTTATTATTTTTTATTACTTTTATATACAATGTATCTTTTTGTTTAATAGCAGTATGTGATTTTAACTTTTGAGTTTTGCTGCATGCTCTGACATTTTGACACCTATATTGTGTAAATTAATTCATCATTTTGAAAAGTAAATAATTATGACAAGTGAGCATTATTAAAAACAAAACCTAGTAGAAAAGGTTTTATTGTTTATGATATTAATTTAATAATGTTCATTTGTGGTAATTATTAATTTTTCAATATGACTTATCAATGGTAATTGACTATAAAAAAATTTCTTTGAAGGACTATTTACTCCTGATGCGGTAGCAACGTTGTAATAATGAGGCCCATTGATCTGCTATAATCCTATCTCATAATCAAATGACTTCAAGTTTCAAGAAAAAATGCAGAGATGCTTTGGTTCATTGTCTTTCTCTGAGGTAATCATATAATTAGAAAACATGGCATGAATTACAATGGTAATAAGCACATTTATCAAATGCTAAGAAAATTTTATTAAAAAAATTGTTAGCATTTTGAATGGACTGTTTGGTAATATATCCAATTTTATTTTCTGATGATGCCAATTTATAGACAAATATTATTATAAACTTTTTCACTTTGGGTTACTGTATTGTTCTAGTTCGGTGTTCTATAGCAATAATGTTTGCAGTATAAATATTTTATTCATGCATATGGATCCATTGAAAAATTTCTCATTCATTCCTTTTAAGAAGTATTTAATCTAGATTAACTGGATTAAGCACAGAGTGGCTTGTTAAGACTATTTCACAACCTTAGTGAGCTGTCCATGATACTTCATCTCAGCTACTTCCAGATATCATGTTACCAAGACATACTGTGTGGTTTTAATAACTATATTATAAAAGTAAAAATATTATCTTGTAAGCAGTTTACCTGTTGCTAAATCACCAGAAATTACATTGTAAATTTAACCATAGTATTTATTTAGACTGGATTATTTGAAAATATTTTGTAACGTTCTCCTACAAGATGTAGGCGTTAGCTATAGCAAATCTGCAGCCCAGGTTTCTTTCAGTGTAGCTTATCACCACACTTGTTATATAGAATCTCAACCAGTAACATCAAGACCTAAATTTGGAGACTGCATTTATAAGGTGATCATTACAATTTCCAATTAGTACATAACTTACCACACGATATATAAAACTGTTAGAGCAAGTTCTCCTCTTATTTTTGTCAAGTCCTAACCCTATGAACTGCTGATTCCAGTGAGGAGAAAGTGTGCTAACAGTTAGCAATCTTTTGAACTTTACAACACTTAATGCACTAATATGCTTTTGCATCTAGTTTATGTTGTGATTTATTAGATATTCATGTGAGTAATAGGTCAGTCATTAAACTTTATTAAAGATGTGTACGAACACACTTAAATGTGAACATTTCAAAATGTTAGATTCTGAATATAATTAAACTACATAATGAAGTTAGCCTGAGAAAAAGATGCAGTAATTTTTATTCATATACTTGAAACAACTGCTGTGAAGGTCTAGTTTTAAAGCATCTCTAAATGCTTCAAAGGTAAATTATATAATTGTTTTGTTGCTTTAAACCAAATCTTGACTTAACTGAATTTTTTCTGTGGAACATCAAAAAACTTGTATATCTATCAAAATAATTTTGAATTATTTTGGTTTATAAATGAATGTTGGGTTTTGAACTTTAAATCTATAAACTTTGTTTATGAAACCATGCAGAAAATATGATTTATTTATACTTCATTATTTGTTAAATGGTCTTATTCAAAGAAGTTTCATTACTAGAGCACTTAAATTATTAATTTGATTAAAACAAGACAAGAGTATAAAAGAAAAGACATTATTCAACCTGAAATAACTTGAGCAATAGGTTAATGTCAAACAAGATAAATTTGTTAATAAATGACAAAGTCAATTAACTATATACCTATTTGATTTTGTTATTGTGGCAGTGGAAATGTGACTGTAACAACTTGTGAAACAGTGTTACATGTTGTATTGTTCCCATGTACATTATTTGGGGATTTTATACTGAAATTAACATCTGTATAGTTAACCAAATTACTGAGTACATCTTTCTGTTTATGGCAAGAGTTTTCCTCATAAAAGTATCTTAAAAAGTAGAACTTCTTCTAAATTGATAAATATGTGTAGTTGCTCTTCTATTGAGATACTTCTTGCCATCTGAGTTAAAAGTCTGAAATTATCCAATTGCATAAATAATTTTATATTAGAATGTAGAATGTTGTTTTGAAGAAATTTAAGAATATTTCTTTTTAAGAATCTATATCAAGAATTCAAAGAAGTTGAAGGAGCACAAGGAGTTAAGATAGCTGGAAAAGATCTGGATAAAGCCATTGCAGGCCTACAGTTGCTTGTAGCTCATCAGCCAGATGAAATTGATATTTTAAAGGTAAGTTAACTACTCGTACCAATATTTTATGTTTGTGGGTCATCTCATTGGTTTTTTGCATCCATTGTATTAAAATTTAGTTTATAAGTAAAGATTAACTCTAAAAACCAGTACTTTTATATAACACAAATTGGATCTATGGCATGTTTACATCTTTAAATATAGAAATTATTTTCAACATACCTGCAAAAGGGAATAAATGTTGCATCTTTTCGTTAAAACTTGAAAAACTTGTATTCAACATCTCATAAAACCACAGTATTATTCATAACCTTATTGAGAATTGGAGAAGCACTGGTAATGTTAAATAGAAAACTAGAAGGCAGCAAATACAAGTTACTTCACTGAATGCACTTCATAATGGAGAATGTGTTCAGTGCTGCCAGAAAAGCACTTTCAACATAGATTGTTTCAGTTTTGATAACAAGCATTTGCAAAATTCTGCCTAAAATAATGATAGGATTTTTTTGTGTAACATATTGCATCTAAGTTCACCTGCACCACTGTTTACATAGCTGAGCAACTAGTACTTGCATTGATGTGTTTGACTGCCTTCACTTCTGCTATATAAATAATTTTGCCTGTGATTACTTCATGTTACAGTGATTTTATTTTCTGGTTAATAATCTTAAGTTTTTTCTTTGATCAGATCATCAACATAGGTTGAAAGACATGATCTTTGCAGCCAGCACTGATGTCATGACATACTTTTCATACTGACACATGGAAGATCAATATAATAAAAAAAAAAGATCATAGCTCTTCTTGTTGGTGTTTTCATAAGTCTTTTTAAAAAGAAAGGGCCATTTGTGTTGGTTACATACCTAACCCCGAACAATCAGTTGCCAAAAATATTTTAGTCACATTAGCAACTGTCTTAGTCACATTCTGGAGCCCTGATATATGAATAGCATAAGTCATTGTCATTATACATTACTTTTTCATCAATGTGTAGTTTTATTTTCTAAATGTGTAACAACTAAAATACTACAGTAGTTGTGTATTCAATAAGTACACATTTAAAAAATTTACAGGATGAGGTTAATTCATCCCTGCGAGAGGTAATGAGCTCTTTCAAATTAGCAGAAAGAGGAGTCTATGTTCAAGCATCAACCCTTGGATCACTTGAAGCTTTACTGGAGTTCCTGCGAGCATCCAAGATTCCAGTAAGTTCTTTTTATTGTTGTTATTAATACCTATTATTAATAAATATACGTTTTTCAGGGCCATTATTTAAGACAAAGGCTTAATGAACAGATTTTTATCATTGTAATTATCATGGATAAGTTAATATGAAATGTACTGTAAATCATCTTACCACAATATACCACCTTATTGTGTTAATGTGCAATATAGTTTTTTGATAAATAACTCAGTTTAAAGTATGTTACTTCTTGGAATACATTTGTCTTATTTAATAGTCACCAGTATTTAATAAGTAGAATGTCTAATAATTTTAGTTCAAACAGAGAAAAAGAGAATTTGTAACACTATAGTTGTTTTCAATGTAAATCTGTATTAAAAAAAAACTATTTCAAACCAGATGAAGGTGATGGTTAGTTCTCAGACCACACTTGTTATACAAATACTACTAATATCTAGATAATGTTAAAAAGAACTTCCAGTATATGCAATGCTTAAACTTAAAAATAATAGTTATAATAAGTTTTTGTAAATCTTTAAATAAAAAATAACCTTTGAATTTTTTGTCATGCATTTGACCTGTTTTAATGTAGAGAAATTATTTTTGTACAGAGACGTTTTACATAAAAAGAATACTCATGGCATTTCAGAGTATTTGTTGATGTTGGAAATTTTCCAAGTGTGAATTAGGTATATGGTGATGTTGCAAGTTACTGTAAAGTAAATCAACATGGACCTACATGTATAGATAGAAAGATAGATAGATTTGAAAAGAAGAATATGGTGAATTCCAAGAGAAGCATGATAGTCACTGCAAACTTGCAATTTGCTGTTTGGATGTTAAGTTTATTAGATAAATTTTTAAAATGAAGAAAAGTTCATCCTAAAGGTGATGGTGAGTGAGTTCAGATGTGAAAGGAAAGACCAGGACATCTGTGTTTTATATTTAATGATAAAAGAGTTTTAGAAAATATAGTTTTGTGGGGTGTTTCCCCACTATTTTTTTTATATACATTGGAAATTTTTAAAATACAAATAAATGTTTTTTGTAATCCATAATGAAGTAGTTTGAAATTAAATTTTTTTGTATTTAGTACATAGATATCATTAAACATGGTACAATTAATGTACACTTCATCTATATATGCTGAGAATTTATTGAAATTTTTATGTTGTAGCCAGAAATCCCAGGATGAAGTTAATCCAAAGGTTTATAGCTTATTTAATGAAACACTTCAATGAAGCAAAAATATTATCTAGAGGAAATTAAAATGACTAATAAGAAAGGTTATTTGTTGAAAGTTTTTGGCCTTAAGCCCATGTAGGTAACTGCTGATCTTAAGCCTACAAGAAAAGAAAAAAAAAGTTATTCAATGTTTAAGAAATTACAAACAACACTAGAATAATTGAGTAGAAATAATTTTAAAGGAAATATTGCAGGATAGTTGCCTTGAAGAATTGGCTATTGTTGATTCAGTCAACACATCAGTTCTCCCAAAACATTACTATATAGTTATCTATATAATTAAATGGATTAAAGTCTAGAACTTGTAATATTTTATTGAAAATAGGTTTAGGAAAGCTTTGACCTTGTAATACATTATTGAAAAAGTATATAGCACTTACAAGAACAGTAAGAAACAAAGAAATCAAACTAATATAATTTTTAATTGCTACTGTAGAATTTCTGACAAAAATAATATCCTCATTGTTGGATGCTTGTGGTTTTTTTACATTACTGGGAAGTATCACTGAAATTACAACTACTGAACAGTAGGAAAAGAAATTAGTATTTCCACATTAAGCCAATGATTGTCATTGACAGTTAGGTAGAAATTAATAAATTATGAACTAAGGCTTCAGTCTTCAAAGAAATTGTTTCATTTTGAAATATTTATAATACAGAAATGTTACTTCTGTTTACTTTTCTTAAGGATTTTACTACAGAACACATTTATTAGCATAGTGTATTGAAAAACATATACTAGAATTTTTGCATTCTAATTATTCAAAGTAACATTAAATTTAACACTGTTCTTTGAGATAAACACAAGTTATTCATTTAGCACATTCCACAGAATATACTTCAATATCAAATAAGTCAAACTAACTACAGATTGCACTAACTAAGTACTATAAAAGTTTTTTCATCACAGTATGTTATGGCTGTTACATGACACCTCAGAAAATAGATTATAAAAAAAATTCATAAGGTTTTCCGTGAAATGGTTTTGCTTAGAGCTACACACAGTTTTTCTAGCTTTTACCAGACAGATCTGCCCTAGTTTAAATTCAGGTACTTGCTTCTTAAAAGTTAAGTTACACAAACATCAATAATCTAAAACATGAAAAGTACAATAAAGATAAAAAAAATGTTGGTAAAACATTCTTAATGTGCTATTTGATGGATTCTGCAATTGATGTAATAGGAAGAGACACTTGTAAGAAAAGTTTTTAGTTAATCACTATCTGAAAATACAATATTTTTACTGATTAGAAAATATTCAAAATATTTGTTTAAAAATGTTTTAAAGTGTCACTGGAACTTGAAGATTTCTACACAAATCCAGGGAAATTTGGGAAGACCAAAAAAAAACCTAATGAATGTAACAAAAGATCAGAAACTGTGCAATAAGCATGATTTGTTTTTAAATATGTTTTAACAACTTTATTTTTTTGTCTTCAAGATGTTGGGCTTTGATATGCTTTAATCAAATACACATAGCATCATTTTGAATGGAATCTATTGAATTGGCCACAAACCTGAGAATTCGTTGCTTCTTAATTACATCATGAGTAGAATAATGTTCAGGCATTTTTCTCCTTTAGCTAACTCTGCAATGTTTTTTTTTCTTTCTCCTTACTTTATTTCTGAAGTTGTATCCTTTACCAAACACTAATGGTTGATAATCATTGAGACTTCTTGTGGTAGTTTACCAAATGTTGTTGTGTCTGGTTGAATCAGGTGAGCATCAAGTTAGATAACTTCCTTTTCAGTTTTCCATCCATAAGCATGAAAATGATCTGAACCTTGACCCAATTTGTTTCTTGTGTGCTTTTTTTATCATTATCCAAAACGTTTTTAGTTATATTTTTTGCTGGAAATGAATTGTCATCGTTTATTTCTGATGTAATCACAGTACTCCTCGTATTCTACAGGTAATATATGTATGTGTATTCTAATTGCATTTATTCTAAAATTGGAGTTACCCTCTCTGATCTAAATTGTTTCTCTGTAATGATGGATTGTGAAAATGTTGGTTACTCTAAATCATAACAGATTTTACTTGGGGGGGGGGGTGTCTGAGAGTTTTATTTTTCCCCCAAGATAGATGTTTTTTAATGTTCCTGTGTGGTACTTGTCTTAGTTTATCACATTTTCACTGTATTAGGCTGACATTTTTTTGTGGTTATATTCTGGTAAACCTTAAAGAATTCAGAATGTTTTCTAACAGGTGTTGCTTTTCTTGTACTTAATGATTAAATTTGTGGGATGTCAAAGTTACTAATGTCAAATATATATTTGCATTTGTCATCTGGTAATTTTTTGTTTGTTTGTTTATGGTTCCTCAGTTATTAAACAAACCACAAGTTGAAGGTACAGCAAAGATCAAAGAGTTTTTTTCTTATTTTTTTATTCAGAAACATGGAACATTACATCATATACATACTGCTTACAAAAAGTAAGATAAAGTGTACACATTATTACATTGCTTAGGAAGCAAGGTCACTTGGCTAATTTCATCTACCAACACTTAAGTTTTATGAACTTATTAAAATTTTCAATATATTGTTAAACCACCAAGTATTGGGTTATTATGAATATGCAATAGAATGAAATATTGAACTTTAAATATAAACAGAAGATAGCAAAAAGAAAGTTAAGTTTTTGGTTTATATTTGTAGTATTTAAAATTTTATAATGTGTAATAATAACTCGTATCAAACTGAAATAAACCTGTAAAAAAAAATTCAGACGTAAACATACAAGTACAAAATCACAAGATGTCTGTCTGCTATAAATGAAAAAGAAATTTTGACTTCATTCCATTACTACAAATACTAGTGGTGATTTACTACACATAAAAAACAACAGAAAAACTTGAATGTTTTTGGAGAATATGAATGGTATATTTTTAATGCCTGAAGTTCTATTCCTTCGTTATTTTTTTTTTTTTCTTTTTTTGGTTTTTCGAGGATTAAAATGACACAACATTAATCAAATTTAATAATTTACCAGGAAAACACTTAAATACAAATATAAACATTCAGAGCAGGATTTTTAGTGTTGCATCAGTAAGTGCAGTAGTTTTAGCCTTTAAATTTGCCATATAAAATATCCATTTTCAAAAAAAGCTTTGAGAAAAATATTATATATATTGCTAAACATTATTCTAATACAGTTACAGTACACTCAATATTTATGAATAAATACAATTATGGTAATTAGTTTTAAATTGAGACTTTTTCTCGAGGAGTTGTTTGTTTCACTGTTTGTACAATACTCATGCCTTAAAATTACTTCTGAACCAAAACTTGTAACAAGTTTACAAGAAATACTAAAAATTTAAACATTCATCACACCATTAAATGCTTTAACACTGTGACATTGACAATGTTAATAAGCAACTGAGTCAAAATGAAATAAGTAAAACCGTAAAAAATATAATTATCTCTAACTATTTATCTCCGACGTACTAGTATATTGTCCAAATGGTGTATGAATTAGTGATACAAAGTTTGAACTTTAATTACTGTTAGTCACTGGATCATTGACATTAGTGGCGTCATGCCTCAGTGGAGCATGTTTTGTTAGATTTTAAACAAATCGTGAAACATGTTAGCATTTATCTAACTTTATGTATATTTCAAACTTAATAGCCTCTTAAAGCTTTTTTCTTTCATGCATTTTTTTTTACCTTCTATATTTCATATGTCTCTTTACATTAATAAAATGCTAACATCCCAGGATGTACCACTTACTTTCAAATACATCCTTTAACTAAAGAGGTTGAATGTCTTCAGCTAAAATTCTGTTACAAAAACTATGAACTATGACTGACGACTTATGCATTTTCCTATTTATTTGCAGTATTCTGGTATCCGAATTGGGCCAGTAGTGAAAAAGGATGTTATGAAGGCCTCAATTATGTTAGAACATGATAGTCAGTAAGTACTTTTGTAGTTTCCTAGGTGCATTGGTCTCGTCTGTTGTGTTGTAGGTAATTATGCACTACTATTAGACTTTTCATCAAAGTTTGTTGGACATATCTTTAATGATTTTATCTGTTTATTATATTTAAACTTTGTTACCAAATAAAGTGAATATTTCCATAATTTCACCAGAATCACTTGTATTTTGGCCCTTGCTATGCATATCACTAATCATCTGTCCTCATCTGTGGGATGTCTAAACTATGTTCATAGTTAGGTTGTTACATAGGCATAAAAATGAAACAAAATTTTCTGTGTGCTTATCAAAATTTGAATGAATAAAAATTAAACAATACTTCATTTGTGACATACAAGAAACTGGACATTTAGTGATTCACAAATTTTTTTTTCTTGTAAAGTAGTAATTAACTTACTATGTTTTAAGAAAGAAAGTAACATCTTCTGGTAGCAAAATTATAGTGATATAACATTTTCCATGTGGCAACCAATTTGCATTTCCTCTTTTTTTCTAGACGTGGCATAGCGGCTTGTAGAATGACTCTGAGTTTCCAAGTACAAACATTTAGCTAATAGCCACGTCATCTCTTGACCGATTTGAGAGCTAATTACAGTTTTGGACTCAGGAGGTCAAACCCTTTTGATTGATGTCACATTAAGTTACTCTAATCCTGCCTAAAGTAATTTCAATTTTAGGGTAGGCTGGTAGAGATCCTGATGAGTAATAAAATTGAATCAGGTATATGTGCACCCCATGCTTGGTATTGCTGGTGCACAAAAATATAGCTAATAAAAAGGAAAAAAGGTCTCATAGATTAATTTACTCTAATCCTGCCTAAAAGAATTTCAAGTACTATGGCTATTAAGGATTCCCTCTTGTTTTCATTGTGATGTGTACTTGTTTTACAATACTTGATTTGTACAACTATTTACATCCAGTTAAACTGAAAATAGGTTAAGTTAATTATCTTTTCACTGGTTATTTAATATACATGAATTTTCAGTTTCATTTATTTGAAAAAACAAGTCCAATTTATTTAATATTAGTAGTGTTAAAACAGTTTTATTATGATATATGCCAAAATTGTAAAGCTTGACCATACAGCTTTGTTTTTGTTATAATTATATTTTACAGTGACAAATACTAAACTATTTTGCGAAGGTTGTGATTTCAACTGTATGAGTCGGGACCAACAAATTTTGTTAACTAATGTTACAAATCGTTTTACTGTATAGTTTATCATATCTTTATCAACAGCATTTCTCAAGTCTTTTGTTGATGTTTTTCAAAGAGACTTAATTTCAGTAAACCAATCTTCTAATAGCTTCTTGCTGAGTGGTATGTTTAACAATTCAGATAACTATTAATGAAAATTTCTAACAACTTTCAGGCTTTTTATTTTTGTTCAAAAACTCACCTTTTTTATATTTTACTGGTTTACAGCTAGTTAGTTTTCTGCCTTGTGGCAATGTTTATGTAAAGTTTCTGATTCAAATACGTGACTGAATCATCAGGTAGAAAACGAAGTTTAATAATTATTTAAAACACTAATACCAAAAAAAATCTTTAATATGGGTGTTTCAGAATTTCCTTAAATTCTATCATCAATGTTAATATCTCAAAAAAAAGTTAGTTCATAAAAAAATCTAACTACAAAAAAACAACATTAGCATTTGAGCGAGTTTTCGTATTCAATTGGAACTTTAGAAAGAACAGATTTAAATGATAACAATATAATGGAATGAATGATAAAATGTGTGGCATACACGTGTTTAATAAATGACATTGTTAAGAGAAATTATTATAGAGAAAGGCTTAAATATAAGTATAAACACTGTATCTTTAAAATAATAATAAATATCAAATAAAACACTGAGAATCCAGAATTGATTACATTAATGACAACAGGGAGGAGTTGATGTTATTATTTAGTGTTGTGTTATCATTGAAAATGGAGAGGCTTTCTTTAATAGAGTTCATAATCTGTGATTCTGGAGTCGAGAATTTTAAAGTTTTCTAGAAGTATGGGTTGGTTGTTATTCTCACTGTGCAATTGGGTGAAAAACTCGGGTAGATTACTTAGATTACATCCACTTCTTTTTGAAATTCCCATGTGCTCATCACATATTTGTAGGTGACCTATAGTTTTACTAAAATAGGTAGTTTTACAGCTACCACAAGTGTATTTATATATGACACGTGAGCGCATAGGAATGGGTAAAGTATCTTTGGTTTTACACATATTTTTAATTCTAAATGTTAACGTAAATACTAAACATAGCTTAATTTGTGGGTAACATATTTTAATTATTTTTTTAATTTGATATTTGAGTTTAAAACTTTGTTTGCCAATGAAAGGAATGATAAAATCTGATGAATATTTTGAGACAGTTCGTGGATTTTTGGTAGGTTCTCTTATTTGTTACAAATTTTTGTGTGATAGAGTGTAAGAAATTAAGGGGATAACCATTACTTTGTAATATGTCATGAATTTTTGAAATTTCTGAGTGAATACAGAAGTAGTCGGAACAGATATTTTAGGCTCTGTTTAGAAGATTTAGTACAAAGTTATGTTTGAAGAAGTCTGGTATGAAACTGTTGAAATGAGTGTATAAGACAGTAAATGTTTTTTAGAGTAAAAAGATGTGGCAAAGAGATTGTTTATTTGAACATCTAAAAAAGCTAAGTTATTGTTTTCTTCCATCTTGCATGTAAAGTTTATGCATGGATGTTATGAGTTTACTTTACATGTGAGATGGAAGAAAACTATAACTTAGCTCGTGGGTCATATATAGATACACTTGTGGTAGCTCTAAAGCTACCTATATTGGTAAAACTACACGTCATCTACAAATACGTGCACACATGCACATGGGAATTTCAGCGGATGTAAGCTAAGTAATCCTCCTGAGTCTTGTATCCGATTGCTATTATTTTATAGATACAGTGTTTATATTTAAGCCTTTCTCTATAATAATTTCTCTTAATAATGTTATTTATTAAGCATGTATGCTGCAGGTTTTATCATATATTCCATTATATCATTACCTTTTAAATCTGTTCTTTCTAAACTTCCAATTGATTATGAAAACTTGCTCAATGGTAATGTTATTATTTTGTAGTTCAAATATTATGAACTAACTTTTTTGAGATATTAACACTTATGATGGAATTTAAGGAAATTCCAAAACATCTTAAAGATGTTTTTTGGTATTACCGTGTTTTTAATATTTATTATAAATATTAATGCAGTTTTAGAAACTGCCGTTGTTTGTGCTCTTGTGTAATAAATGTTTTTATATCTAAACATGCTGTGATATTGTCATTTGATGCAGGGTTATTGTAAGTTCTCTTGACTTCCAAAACCTGCCCCCCCCCTCAAAAAAAAAAAAAAGTGAAAACTTGAAGTCGTGTATGTAGGATTCAAGCAGTCACACCACTACTAGTATACACTAAGAATATTGTATTCAAACTTTACCAAGCATTTTTAAATATAATACATGAACAAATGACATGAAGGTATAAAAAGGATGCTTCAGAATATTACTGCATTCTCTTACCTTTAATGATGTGTGACATTGTTAGAACAACTATTTATATACTAACCTTGATGCCCATCAAATTTATAGGGTTTTTTTTATTAACGCACATAATTTATAGAAACTTCTTGTTTGTTCTATTGCCTCTCTTAACTCTGAGAAGTTCCAAACAAATTTGTCAGTCTCTTCTTATTGCCCCTTCTTCCTCTAACTTCCCAGTTACCACCTTCCAGAAGTTCCCAGCCAATTAGAGACTTTTCCTATTGCCCTTCCCATTCCACAATAATTTTCATTTTACACACTATTGCATCCTTTTCCAGTATTTCAGAAGCTTCTGGAATATCTAAACACAGTAATAAGCTGTGAACCATCATTAGTGATTTTTTTTTCTTGAAAGCTGTACTAGATGATAGTTCAAGAATGAAGTGAACTTCATCTACACATTTTTAGTTTGTAATTACTGTTCATATAATTGTAATCTAATGAAGAGAAACATTACATAATGAAAAAAAAAAAAATCATGACTTTGTGTTTTTATAAAATACAGGTATGCTGTGATATTAGCATTTGATGTGAAGATTGAACGTGATGCCCTGGAATTATCTGAGAGTTTAGGAGTGAAAATATTTCAGGCAGACATCATCTATCATTTGTTTGACAAGTTCACAGCCTACAGAGAAGAGCTGAAACAAAAGAAACGAGAAGAGTTCAAACAGGTTGCTGTGTTTCCTTGCAAGTTAAAGATCTTGCCACAGTTTATCTTCAATTCCAGAGATCCTATCATAGTAGGAGTTAGTGTGGAGTCTGGAGTGTTGAAGGAAGGGACACCTCTCTGTGTGCCTTCCCGAGATGTAAGTACCACTGTTTAATTTCTGTAGTGCATAGTGGTGTATAGAAGACATATTAATACTAGAAATAAACGACCTTATAACACCAAAGTGTTGTTTTTATTTAATTAGACACTCAACATTTCACTTTATCGCTTCTTCAGGAGCATTCACTTAAACTGACAGTACAAAGCTTCAAATGATTTAAATAATAAATTATATTTGATTCTATAATGGGCATTTGTACAGCATGCTTTTGACATATTAAGTAGTAAAGCTTATTGTTGAAATAATTAACTGCTATCTGTAGTAAACAAAAGTTCTATCAAGATTACAGAGTGAAATAACAAAAAGATAGGATAAAAAAATAACGATAAAGTAATTATAGGTGCCATCCTTTGTCCCTATTCATCTGTGGTTGTAGTTGTTCAATGAGAAGAGCTTCTTTGAATTTTCTGTCAGTGTACTTAGTGGCTTTGGTGAGGATTTGTATGGAGAATGGTGATTTCAAGTCAGGTGTTATTTGTCCATGATTAGTTTAAAAAATGATCTGCAACTGCACTTCTTTATGTAGTTGTTTATAAAGAATGTCAACATGTTCTACTATTCTTGTGTGTAGGGTTCTTTCGGTTTCTCGTATGTACATATGATGGCAGATGTTACATTTAAGCTGGTAAACAACATTGGAGAACAGACACTCATCTTTATATTGCAAACATGGTTTTGTAAGACAGTTGGCTTTATTACATTGTAGGGCATTGTTTGTAAGACAGTTGGCTTTATTACATTGTAGGGCATTGTTTGTAGGACAGTTGGCTTTATTACATTGTAGGGCATTGTTTGTAGGATAGTTGGCTTTATTACATTGTAGGGCATTGTTTGTAGGATAGTTGGCTTTATTACATTGTAGGGCATTGTTTGTAGGACAGTTGGCTTTATTACTAAAGTGTGAATAGTACACAAATTTTAGATTTCTCCCATTTCATATTAAGAAAGAGAGGAAAAAATAAAATATTCCTTATTAATAAACTCTAGAACATGTAAAGTGTGTGGTTAAATAGGCAGCTTTGGAAATGCTTTCAAACGAGCCACTAGATAGCATGGATCGTCATGTTTGTTGAGATCAGTGGACCATCATAGTAGTGTAGGATCTTTGATTTCATTCAGTGTAATACTGTTTAGAATAATGTCCATAATAATGTTGAATGAATGAATAAATATAAAAACAAGTTTTCTTATAAACTATTTATCATTATGGTATATTAAACAAATCAATTTTTAAACTTTTTGCTACACTCACATTGCAGAATAAGTATGAACCAGTAAAAATAATAAAATATTCCTGAAATTTATACACAGTTCAGATATGTAAATATCACTTGATTACTTACAGCTTCCTTTGATTTCATGTATGCAGTGCCGGATTTAGACTTGGTGAGGCCCTAAGCTATATAAAGCTTGGAGGCCCCTTGTTAAAAAGTTACACCAGAATGTCTGACAAAGGTGCATTAACAAAACAGGAACTTGGGTCACCACAAAAAAATTAAAAACATATATATGCCTTTTAATTATTTAATAGTAAGGTACTTAAAGTGAAAAATTACATATTCATCATTTGGCTGGCTTGATCTCTCACAGATAAAATTTTAAAAGCAAAAAAAAAAAAAACTAAAATTTTGTGAGGACCTAAGCTGTAGCTTGTTTAGCTTATGCCTAAATCCGGCACTACATGTACGGTATTTTGATAACTCACCAATTATATGTTTCACTAAGTTTTTGTTTTGTTTTGTTTTGCGTTTATCTAGTTACATGCATTAAATTATTTAGCTTACTATAAGTATGAAACTTTATACATTCTCTGTGTACAGAATTATTCTATAAGTGCTGTAATACTATCAAAAGTTTCTTGGAACTGATAGGCTGATCACAAGAAAATATCTCAATAACACATGTATGACATCTCCAAAATGCTTATGAAAATAAAAAAAAGTAGTTTAAATTTGAAGGTTACATTTAGTGCAATATAAAGAAAAGAGATAAAAGACTGAAGGCAATCTGAAGTGTGTCATAATGTTCTATGACCATTTACATATGACCATTTCTATGACCATTTATTTGTTGTGATAAAGTTTATAACCAAATAAATTGTACATGTAATACTTAAATCATTCCAAACATAAATGTTTGTTTTTCCTTTGGTATTTAGATTTTTCATATCTCTGGAAGAAATACTTCCATGATCGCTATAATGAGTGGAAACCATTATCAATTATAGTTTCCTGTTTCTCTGCACATAGCTGCATCAGTAGATTAGGTTCTTGTGTATTAGATATCCATATATCCTTTGAAATACATTACCTGTGTTCTTAACAAAACTTGATTTCTAAAAGCCTTATAATGCACACTTTTACTTCTACATGAATCATTAATAAAAGTTTTTGTAGTGATAATACTGCTTGTTTCAGCTAGTGTCTTCTATAATATATAAAAGTGCAGTGTTCTAGAAATGAAACCCTTTTTCTTTTCTTTTTTTCAGTTTCTAGATGTTGGTACAGTCACAACAATAGAAATAAATCATAAACCAGTGGAAAATGCAAGAAAAGGTCAAGAAGTGTGTATAAAGATTGAACCTCTATCAGGGGAGTCTCCTAAGATGTATGGACGACATTTTGAACATACAGATCTTCTTGTTAGCAAGGTATGTCTGAGCTTTACTAAAGATATTTTGTGAGTGCAAGTGTTTCCTATGTATGCATTAAACACATAGCTCTGTATGGTTACTTACCTGTGATTATGTTATGTTTGTATGGTTTTTGGATAGTCTTTGATTCATCTTAAAAGTGTTAAATCAAAGCCAGTGGCTGATGGTATGAGATCACTATAAGCAAATCAGGATTATAACAAATTTTTCATTCTTTCTGTGTATGTGTGTTATATAGAATACAAAAATGTAGGTCACTTTATAAATTATACGGATATGGTAAATAAAGTGTACTTACACACACAAAAATTGGTTAGTTTGTGAATAGGAAGGCGCCTAATAACTTTTTATACTTTTTCTCATGTACAATGCATATACGTGTCAATAAAAAATTATACATATGAAAATAAAGAAATTCCCACAAAGCTTAATCAGCTCCTTAATAACTGCAACCAAAATTTCTATATGTCTATATTAATAAACAAAACAACTTATTAAAAATAACTTAAAAGTATAATAACTTGCAAAATAATAATTAGGTGGTAAAAGTTGAGATAAAAACGGTTTAACATTAGGTGTTTTCATCAACCGAAGACAAAATATACAGTCTCTCAACAACTGAATTCTGATTTGTAACAGCATGAAAAGCTAAGGAACACACAGTTTTCATGTAACAGTATCCTGTGACTGAGAAGTGTATATTAGATTCTACAGTGTTTATCAGTCTATCTCTTTTTAAAGTGTTTCAGTTATATTAAAGATTTTTAATGAGTTTGTTGTTAGTGTACCAATAAAGAAACTTTTTCTACTTTCTTCAGAAAAGACAGTGTGTGTGATTTTCTACATGTTACTTACTTAACCCATCCACCATATTAACATTAATGAAGGAAATTGGTAATTTATGGATACAAAAATGTCTGATGAAGAAGTTACATTACATATTTAAAATTCTTTCATGTGCCGACGAATTTAAAGATCTGAACCAAATTGATGAGACTTAAAGTGATTTATTTTAGTTCCACATTTGTTTGAGCATTATAGTGTTCACTGTGTAATTCTGTGAGATTTGTTTTTCATGTAGGATAAAAAAAGTTAATTTATTTCACATAATTATTTATTAAATAACTTTGAATTTATGATGACAGGAACACTGTGCACTGTCTTGAAACTGAATAAAACTTGTTTTTATAAGCGTACATAAGAATAAAACTTATACTAACAACTAACAAATTGAGATAATTTCCTAATGATAACCTTTAAATTAGTTTTACCACCAGTGAAAGCTTCAGAAGTGCTACTGAGCAGGCTGATACTTGTTTGTTTTTTAATTATGTACATGATTTAAAAAAAAATAATAATAAAAAATCATTTTTCATAATTTTCTCCTAAAATATATTCCAGCTATACTTGTCTACTTCAATTGTTATTTTTTGGCTGATGATACGTTTCAACATTATTAATGCCTATATATTTATAATTATGCAGGGGTCTACTTTTCCAAAATGATTTATAAAACCCAAATAGTGAAAAAGTACACAGAAAAAATGTTTAAAAACTATCTGTTAATTTAGTAGCTTAATAAAATCACTTCTTTTTTATCGAAGAGCTGTAACTAATCCATTACATTTGAAAGCAAGATGTTAATGCATTCATTTGGCAGATGTTTGAATATATACTTACAGAACTGTTTTAGGATTTACAGATTTCTGTTGCACAGTTAGCTTTTTCTATACAGCTATATTCATTTTTAATAGACACCAAAACATCTCATAGTAAAAAGAAGTAATCAGAAAAAGTATATCAATTCAAAACACACAAACCCTTTTTTTCCTTGTTTAATTGGATTTGTTACTGTAGTACATGTAAAACTACTAGCTGATTTTACTGTGTAACAGTTTTTAAATTGTCTGATGAATTAAGTTCACTCTCATAATCATTTCTCAACACATTGAAGCTGTTTTAAGTATATGTATTTATCTCTTTCCCATAGATAAGCCGACAGTCAATTGATGCTTGTAAAGACTATTTCCGTGAGGACTTACTGAAAACTGACTGGCAGCTTATGGTTGAATTGAAGAAACTTTTTCAAATCTTGTGAATGACAGTGATGAATCTGATATTCTGCATTTGAAGGAACTGACTTAAGCCAAAATTGTATGCTATGAACTACAGTTGATACAAATTAGAGAAATAAAATAGCAATGCAAAAACATCTAAAACTTTGTATCCACCACTCTGTTAAGATTATAAACTTTTTGAAGCATAAAAGTTTATAACTCCATCAATTTACAGAAAGTTTGTCCATCAAGAAACACAGCAGTAACCATCCTGTTTATTAAATAATTTGAAAGAAATACTCTTTTAGTTGAAATTTATAATATCGTCATAAAAAGAAGAAAAAAACAAGTTGTGTTTCTATATTTATGGCATTGAAGATGTCTATTTTAAATATATTGCATGAAGTTCCACCAAAAGGAATATATTGTTCAATATGTAGAACATTTATTTAAAAACTTGTGGTTGCAGTTACATTTTATCATGAGGAAGTTTTAATACCCATTTGTTAGCAGATGTCAAATTCTTGGTTTTGTTTTGTACACTATTTCAATGTAAAAAAAAAAAATTATGGCTGTCAAACTCTAACTAGATATTTATCACTTCTGTTTTGATTAAACTTTGCAGTTGTGTATACAACTATGAATTGCAGATTTGAGCTTTCATCTACACTACTAGGTTGATAATATATTATCTCAGTCAATGGGTAGTTATTTTCCTTTACATGTGAAAGGTTGTTTACTGTAGCTTAATCATACATGTATTTTTATAGTCATCTCCCAGTGTTTTTGTTGAGGCTTGGATGGTGATTTGAGTTCCATGCTGAGTCCTTCAGGTTTGTAGCTGTAAACACTATGAGGGGATAATTAATATCAACATGAACCATGGAGAGGGCTTGATCTTACTGTAATGATATTTCATTGGATGTGGAGAGTGCTGTGGTAGAATATAGTTCTATATTTTAATTTTTTGGATTTGAAGAGATTTCCAGGGTCTCAGCATGGAGCCAAAACATCAACTCAACACAAAGAGAAATGGCAGGAGATGTCCATAAATATTCAAAACACTGCCAAGATCCAGCTTGGATGTATACTTATAGCTTTGTATTGCAAAAGAGAGTTTAAGACTGTTCAGCTTTTTAGTTAACTCTAGCTATCCATTTCTTTGACATAATAAAACCCATACCATAACCAACTGAGACTTGAAACAACATCAGCTCTTATCAAACCACCAAACAAAACTAGTTGATGACAGAGAATGTCACTCGATGAATATAGATTGCCTGATGATAGATGAGGTTGCATCAATTTTTTTGAATGGTCATGGTATGAATTTTGTCACGTAATATTTTTTAACATTACAGCTTACATCAGTGCATGGTGGAAAACGGGGTACAAGATTAAGTTTAAAAACTGGACAGCTATAAACCCTTTTGCAATAAAAATGTATAAAATGTGTGCTTGAACACACCCATAACAAACATGCTTTACAATATAAAATAATACAAACTTTCAATAAGTGATATTCAGTATCATCAATTTAGCTGATATGATGAAAGCTTAAATTGCTTGTAATTACAGTTTTTAGTTCAATGCGACATTGATAAGAGCTGATATGTTTTTTACATTACAACTTGCACTAGCTCAAGATGAAATTAAAAGTTGAGTGATAGGTGAAGTTGGAAATCTGTATAGTCTCAGACTTTCTACTTTTTAAGTAAAATAAAGGTGTGTGTGCACAAACAAAAACTTTGCTAAGCCAACTTCCACACCTTAAAGTATACAAAAAGCTCCACTTGGTAATATTTTCCATAATTTAAAAACTAGCTTGGCTAATATGAGTTAAAATTGCTTCAAACTTGAACTCTCAGTTGGTTATACAATGGGTTTTGTTACCTCTTTTGTTTTTATATATATATATTAAATCTAACTTGTTTCCCCAAAAACTGTGGGATATACTTTTACAAATTATTGTAAAAAAGAGCAGCTGAAAGATCTGTCTCCATGCATCTGAGAAAACGTTTCTTTTTTTCTATTGAAATACTATTTTGTGCAAATTAAGAGAAAAGCAGAAGGTCGTGTTTGAAAGTACTATGAAATATGTCACTAGTATATACCAAATTGATGGACAAAAAAAAGTTGAACTGTCTGAGCTTAACTGTAGTTTTCTGAGGAAGAAAAGTAAAGATGAAGGTTTTGTGTAAAAGGTGATTGAAACGAAATAAAGAATCTTAGTATAAAATCTTGAAGCAGTGTATTAGTACTCACACAATCATAATGATTTTAGTATTGTCTTTGTACTGAAAGGTACAAATAATTGAAGTATGTGATTAACATTTGTAAATGATGCAGTTTTTCATTTAGTGTAATTGACAAAGATTTCTAAAGAATTTTATCTATATAACATCTATTTTCAGGTTAAATTTTGTCTTAATTTAAACACCACTGGACTTAATGTTGTTTTGACAAAATTCTTTATCTAACTGTAATATTGTTATTTATTCGAATAACTTGGTTTCTCTTGTTTGTTTTTTATGATAAATAATATCTTGTACAGATATTACTGATACTTGTTTATAGTATTACAGCAGAAGCTTGTTTATCAAGATAGATGGCAGTGTTTTTAATATTAGTTCTAGTAATTAATTATGCTATTAATAGGTTTCAGTATGTAATATGGGTGTGTGATTTAAAAGCTAGTAAGCTATCTACCTGTCCAGGATCACCCTCATTCAGACTAGAATGAGCTATGTGAATGCTTCCAAAGGAGGTATCTACATTTTGCAGATTTGTATAGTACGTTATGTGTTATCTATTATGTTGATGTTTTCTTTAATTTTCTCTTGTGTGTGTGTGGTTCATGTCCCATTATTTTTGCATTATTCCATTTTGTCATATGGTTTTCTCTTGCATGATGAGCTATTGCAGGTAGATTGATAATACAGATTCTTCTATTCTATTATAGTTATGTAGTTTAACTTTTGTAGGCCTAGAGGAGTGGATAGCAAAACATATTTCCATGAAGAAGACTTGTGATCAAGTCAAAGTCTGCCATCTCAAACACAGTTCTTCTCAGGACTTCCTTGAATGTGGTAGCAGATTAGCAACCAAAATATAAAATAGTTAGTAATTAGTGTCTAGTAATATACCAATTAAGAAATAATTAATAATTAGGCTTTAAGTGCTTGCATAGGTTTCTAACCATGAGAAAAATACGAATTCGATCGTCCACAACCTTACGTTGTGTACATATATAGAAACCTGGAACATATCCTGTCTAGAAGTCTAAGGCAACTTTTATGTCTTGCATGAAAAGCAGCAAAAACTGGTTTTGGAATACATTATTCTAAATATTATCAAAAATAGTAAACAAGTAGTAAATTTCATCTCTAAATTTAGCACTTTTATTTCAATTTTCGCAACTTTAGTGACTTCTATCATTATCATTAGTGGCCACGGCCGTAGCTAGCGATGAGGACACCGAGGTCCAGACCTCGGTTAACATTTAAAATTAAATGTAACGTACTATTTAATTTTATATCCATATTTTGTAGTTTTGCACTTAAAACACAAAAATCATGACACTTCTTTTCTTGATTTAGCACTACGCCACTGCTGACTTGTTCTACCTGCATTCATCGTTAGGATGTGTTTAACACCAAAGCAGATTGTAGTTCAGTTACGTGATAGTGTTTTAACCTCTTTTTAGACCAAAATCAATCTAATGATCGAAAAATGAAAAGTCATTCAGAAAGGATGTTTTGAATGCAAAATATATAGTAAATAAGAAATTCCCACTCCTGGGTGTATGCCAGATATCTTCAGATTGCGCGTATAACTGAATAAACGCTGCTCAAATAGTATGTGCCATATGTGACCCATTTGACAAAAGAAGTTAAAGGTATGTTTATCCTCAGCACTAGCATTTTTTTACTCTTGAAAAATTGTTGAACTACTGTGTGAAAGTATTGTCTAAGATATAAGGTTATACCTAAAAGCCTATGAAATTATTGAATTTGTTTTTCTCAATCATCACAGTTACGTAGTGTGACGAGAAGAAAAAAAAGGTTACAGAGCCAACAAATTTTTCAAACAGTATGTCGTCTGAAGAATATGGTAGAATCAATTTTAACATTAATGATTTTCATATTTAAACTTAATATGTAAAATAACCGCAGAGGCTACAAAAAGAATAATATAAATAAACGTTATCAGTGGACCTTTTTATTTATTATGAGTTAAGTGATGGTGTTTCGAGTGACAGCCCTTTGTCAGATTGAAAGACGAAGTTATTAAAATAATTAAAAAGGAAGAACACGATGGGTGCTAGAATAATACACTTGTAACATTAGCATTGTTGTGATCTCTAAAGAGCATTAAGAACAGTAAGATACTTCAAAGGGATTAGTATGTTATATTAAAACGATTTTGAATATGAAAATCGAGTCACGAGACAACTAAAGCCAGTATAAAATCGCGGTGGAACAATGTATCAGAACTACATTTTTTCATTGTTTGGCATTACGTAGGTAGTGTGATGCCACAAAAAAAATTATCTTTTTAGGAAGGGTATGTAACAGCCTTTTTTGACGCAAAATATTCATGCACTCAGATCATAAAGATGTGTTCAGATAGGGGACTTAGAATTTCCAAGGCGGGGCTCTCATTTGTATTTAATGTAATTAGAAAACAAAGGAATATGAATCAACTTGGAGAACATGGACTATCCACAAAAGGACGTGCAACAAGTCGTTCTCCAGCCGTGATAAACAAAGTGTGGTGTCTTATAACAGGTTTGAAGCCACGAACAAAAGGCAGTGGCAACAGTCGTAAACATGGCCCAGGTAACAGTACACAACATAATCAAAAAGTATCTTTGTATGGAAAAATGGCAGTACGAGATGACACTCGGCGAAGCTTAAATGTACATTGATAATTGTAACAAGTCTCATACCATTTTCGACCGGTAAGTGCCTCAATAAGTAAAAACGGTTTTCAGAAGTGGTATGCTGCATGTTACTATACTTTTTTCGAAGGCATTCGTGATAATCGCTGGATACTGCGCTAAGGGCAAGGTAGGTATCAATAAAGTGAACAAAGGTGAAGGTGAACCTATATTTGCTATCAGACCTTTATTCTGAACCTTTTGCATCACACAGAAATACCTGCTTTGCACGGGAACGAGGCGTAAAATGTCTTGGATGCGATCTCCGAGTCTACTTCCTGTCTATCATACACAAAGTTGATCACATTTTATGAAACAATACACTAAGTTAGACGTTTTGTGACGCTTATAAATGCCACGTGTAGTCTAAGACTGACTACGCTATCCTCTGCAGAAGCTTTTTACCATGGAAACTGTGGTGTTGAGCAATAGTGTATATATCATTACCATCAGACTGAACACGATCAAACGATGGAAGTAGTTACAAAGGCAGCAATGGACTTGGAACTTCGTTCTTTTGAAGTGTAATTAAACTTCAGTATTCTTACATGAATCCTAATTTCACATTTGTGAACCTTAAAGTAATGAATTAATTCGATATTAAGAGGGGAAGTATTCTGTTTCCTTTACTTGTTTTTCTATGTACTGTAACCTGGGGCTACATACTGAATAATATCACGTTCTTGCTTGTTAAAATAATCATTGTAAAAAACTGACCAAAAGTATTACAGTGGGTGAAATCACTCATCTTCTCTTACGAAATAAGTGAACTGACATAGTGGAATTAAGTGCAATATTGATGGTATTTTTATTTAAACCTTTTTTGTGTGCGACTCGTTACTATAAAAATTAGGTTATTGACCCACAAGCAATATGGCATATAAAAAAGTTTAGAAAAATTGTTTTAGAAGCTCAAGAATTTTACTGCCCATAGGGACCACTAGTAATATTTGTAGGGTTAATAGTGTTACGTATCTGCTCGTTTGTTAATTTCCGGCATAAATTCCTTCCGAGGAACTTCAGCGATACAAGTCC